TAGAGTCATCGGGCAGTATGCCATATAAGATATAGTCGATGAATGGGAATCGCCAATCTCTTGGTTCAAAACTTATGGAAGCTTCGCAAATGATCTCTGATGTTGCCTCTTCTGAGCAATTTCCTAGAGGAAACTTGGGGTGACACAAATCACGGCCTGCCACGAGTATCTTTGTTTCTACCTTTGGTGGCAATCCTAGTGAAGTTGCCAGTGAAGCTAAGGCATCTGCATAGATGTTACGGGCTAGTGGAACATGTCCGATAAAGAAGCCCTTAAATTTTCAAGCTAACTTTAGGACCGCAAAGTGGTATGGGATCAAATCCTCGTTACGCACTTCGTATTCTCCTCGAACTTGATTTATAATGAGTTGAGAATCACCGTAGGCTTCAAGGTATTAGATGTTGAGTTCCTCAGCCAGCTGCATTCCTAGTAGCAAAGCATTATACTCTGCTATATTATTGGTGCATGGCTCGACTAAGGAAAATCCTCTTGGGATCACCTAACTAGTTGGGGATACGAGCACAACCCCCACACCGGCTATGATTCCTCTATCAGCACTTTTTCTAGATGCGCCATCGAAGAACAATTTCCATACTTGCATGACTCCTTGAGTTATGTAAGCCTCTGCAACTTTGTCTTGTAAGTCTTCATATAATATGGAAGAATCAGGCACCGGATAGTTAGCTAAGAAATCTGCCAGGGCTTGGCTTTAACAATCTTCTGAGGCATGAACTGCATTGAATACTGCGATAGAAGTATCACCCATTTTGCGAGACGGAAATTTAGCGAAGAAGGTTTCGTCATGAGAACTCTCAAAGGGTTCACTTTGAAGATAACATGAATAGTCTATCCAACTAAGTAATGCCATATTTTCTGAATGGTGAAAACCAAGATAATGCATTCTTTTTCTACCGAATTGTACCAGTGTTCATCTCCAATCATGATTCTACTAAGGTAGTAGATTGCCTGCTCATGACCCTCATCATTGTTATGATCTAGTAAAGGTCCCAGTGAATGTTCCATGGCCCTCACATATAACAGGAATGGTCTTCCTGTTACCGGGGCCACTAGGACGGACGACTGAGTGAGATATTGCTTGATTTCCTCAAACGCCTTCTGGCAGTCTCCATCCCAAACAAAGGAGACTCCTTTCTTCATTAATTTGGTGAAGGGTTGGCAGCGTCCTGAGAGGTTTAATATGAATCTCCAGTTGTAAACCAATCTCCCCTGTAGGCCTCTAAGTTCTTTGATATTCTTTAGAGACTGCATTTCTTGGATAGCCCGAACCTTTTCTAGATCGAGGGAAATCCCTTTAGAGATGACTATGAATCTAAGGAATTTACCGCTGGTTACCCCTAGGAAAGATTTGGTGGGGTTCATCTTTAGTTGATGGACTCGTATGATGTCGAATGTCATCTTCAAGTCTGAGAGATGGTCGCTTTTCTTTTGGCTTTTCACTACGATGTCATCTATGTAGCTCTCTACTCTCTTGCGTAGATGTTCATAGAAGATTGTGCTCATAACATGCTGATAGGTTGCACCAGCATTCTTCAGTCCGAAAGGCATTACTGTATAAACGAACACCCCAGTGGTGTTCTGAAAGCTGTGTGCTTTTTATCTTCATGGTGCATTTTGATCTGATTATACCCTGAGAATCCGTCCATGAAAGACATCCTCTAATACCCACAAGTATTGTCAACCATGACATCCATGATGGGAAGAGGGAACTCATCTTTTGGACATGTGGTATTTAGGTCACGGAAGTCAATGCAGATCCTGACTTTCCTATTTTTCTTGGTTACAGGAATAATGTTAGCGACCCAATAAGGATGTTGCTCCTCCCTGACAAAACCTAAATTGATAAGATTTTTGACTTCCGTTTCAATTACTTCCATAATCTCTAGATGGAACCGACGTTGTTGTTGTTTAACGGGTTTCGCATTCGGATTAATGTTGAGATGATGCATGGCTACTTTTGGGTCAAGACCATGCATGTCCTCATAGTTCCAGGTGAAGACATCTTTATATTCTCGGATGAGAGATACAAGGTCCTCTTTCTCGGATGGTGATAAGCTTTCACTTATGAAAATGGGCTTAGGATCGGTTTCATCTCCCATGTTTATCTGGATCACCTTATCTTCCGTGGGTGGCTCGCGTTGCTCAAAATGCATATCCCATAAAATGTTAAGGCGTTTGATCCAAGAATCGCCAGTCAATTTAATCAACTCTTCGTCATCTTCTTCGTTATCATCTGGATGACTAGACGAGGTCATGTTCACAGACAAGCCTTTGAAGATTGCACCAATGCTAACGTCGGATTCCCATGATGATGTTTTGTATGAGTGGTTTTAACATAGATATTCATTTTCTAAAGAGGGGGGATTGAAACGTAGCCTAATCCTCTCCCAGTTTTATGATAATAATCAGGGGGTTTTCCTTCTGGAGTAAAAGACTGAATTGGTGCTCGTCTTCCTTTCCCGAAGTTTAAACCTTTCGGGTTATTAAAGTCATAACACATCTTCTTCATCATACAGAGGGACTTGGACCCATAATGATGGAATTGTGGGACTATGAAGAAGGCTCTCTGGGCGTCTTCCATCTCTTCGAATGTAGTGAAAGTTGATTTGAGCGGCTGGCTAACTGATGCTTCGGTATACAATGCATGCCATGGATCTGTTCTTACGCATGCATCAGGGGATACACCAGACAAGTAAGCCAAGTTGAAATTTTCATTAATGTACCACTCACTCTCACTAGATACATCATTGTTGTTGAGCTCATTCTGGCTCATTACATTTAAATCTAATTCTCATAGACATTCTTCCTCAGGTTCAGGCTCAGTTTCATCGTCTGCTTCATTGCCACTATCGGAATCTTCTTTTGGCTGCTCTTGTTCTTGGGAGTCCAGGTAGAAAATTGAATCAGTGTGGTAGTTTTACACACCATTGAATGGTTGTCTTTGGGCTATCAGGGTTCTAACTTCTCCCTTATCATTGACATACTTCATCACTTGATGGAGGGTAGACGGGACAATACGATTTGCATGAATACAAGATCATCCAAATAATAGATCGTAGGACGTGTCCGCATCTATGATGTAGTAGGTCACTTTCGGTCTAAGGTCCCCGATTTGGCATTTGAGTTTGATCTTGCCCATAGGGCGTGTGCTGCTAGCGTTGAAGCCAAAGATAATGGTTTGTGTTTAGTTCAGTCGGTGCAGAGGAATCCCTAAGAACTGCATAACTCTATATGGCATAATACTAAGGGAGGATCTTGGGTTGACTTGGACAGAGTTGATCTCTGAAGACCCGATATACCCTGTGTAGTATTGTTTGTTAGAAAATTTGTAAGGAGACAATTAAAAGAATTGAATTTGATTTATTCACTCTAACTGCTTAGAAAAGGAATGTTTACAACTCTTTCGATCTCTAATTGATTACAATTTGAATTTCCTATTATAAAAGAGAAGAGGATCAATATAAATCCTCCTCTTTATTTAATTATGGGTTCTTCATAGTGGTAATGGAGTACCTCCCTCGAATGCTCGCGTCGAGTTTGCTCTCCGTTGATGATCTGAACGTCTCCCTTTACTGGAACAATAAACTAGCATGACAAGAAAAGAACTCTTAACGAGTTTATGAACTCAGAGCGAGTTTTGAACTCTGTGAAAAGAGTTTGAATCAAAAATTTGGTTAATAGCCAAGTGAATTTGCTGTTGCTGAAGGATGCCTCATGATCTTTTTGTTGTCAAGAAGTTCTCTCTAGTCGATCTCTTGGTGATTTGATCCGAACACCCAACCTCTGACCCCTTTTCGGTTAAGTTTGTTGAGGTTTTTATAGGAAGATAAGGGGTGTAACTAACTCCTTAATCCGCTTCTAAGTGGGCGAGATTCCCTCAGATCGTGGGAAAAATAGTTCTGAAACCGTTCAGCTCATGTTTGAATGAGTTAAATACCTAGGTGGTGTTCTAGACCCTGACTCTGCGTCTTAGGTTTGAGACGTAGAGTTGAGCATCTGCTAAAAATTGAAAATGCAGGGGCTGCCTATGTTTTGAAAATTGAACGCAGATGTGAACTCTGCGTTTAGAAGTGGTTGTTGACTTGTAACCTCTTCTATTAGAACATTTGCAAAGACCATTATTCTGTAATCTTCGCTTTAGCTATTTAGGATGTGAGAGTCATCAGATTGTAACTCTCATGGTTGATTGTGAAGGCTATTGAATCAGAGCTTTCATTAGTCATCGTGAAGGTCTTTGAATTATAACCTTTCTTGATCTACGTGAAAATCCTCCAATTGCAGCTTTCGTTTTATTAACGTGAAAGTCATCTGATTGTAACTTTCATTATCAAGGTGTTGATTGAAGTTTGTTAGGTATCATCTATATTTTGTGATTTTTAGACAGCCTATAGAACCCCCTCCAAAGTTTTCGAAAGTTCGCGGTTGACTAAGACAAACTTTTAGAATACTGTTGATCTCAAAGTTTGTTGAATGATCGTTCACTTCGTCTGATTTGAAGACATTGCAAACTTGGTTTTTGGAATGTTGCAAATCTGCTTCCTTAAACTAAACAAGATAACTTTTGTGCCTTGATGAAAATGACCTTAGTCAAACAAGCTAAAGCTCAAGTTATCATTGCATGGTAGATTGTTCACTTCATCTGTTTTGGAGGCATTATGAACTTGGTAGTATAAATTTGTTGTACGTCGCAATTCTGCTTCCTGTATTAGTGATTCCTTGCAATATCTTTTGGTAACGGTTAACTTCATACTCCCGATGGACATGTAGAAGTAGTCAAGGTAATCCTGATCACCTTAAACCAAGTAAGATAACTTTTGTGTCTTGATGACAAGGAACTTAGTCAAACAAGCTAAAGTCTAAGTCATCATCATTAGATGCATTAGTAGGATTAACTTTTCCCTCTTTCTTCGGCAGCAGCAGGAATAACAACATTCCCAGCCGATGCTACAGAAGCAAAAGTAACAGCGAATTTTCATGGATCCTTAAGATACTCCTTCAACTTGTATGAAGGTGTATTCAGTGTCGACAGTAACATCAAGGACGTTCTTATAGACATCGATGAACATGTAAGGCGTCGGTGCAATAGTTGGGTAAGAGAGAGCCAATGACAGCAAAGCAATCATAGAAACACCAGGTGTAAACTTGTCAATGAGACTATCCTCAATGAGGTTGAGCACCTCTCGGCTAAAGATAGATCCATTGTCACAGACAGAGAGAACCACAAGCCCATATGAGAAGGACCTTATCCCAAGTTTGGCAAGGAGGGTAACCTTAGAGGAACCCACTTTGTCTCCTTTCTTTATCATCTTAACTGGGGTAATGATTTCAACAACATCCTTATTAATTTTGGTTAGAATGTTAAGACATTTGAAAGGATGAGTTGCGTGAAGGATCGATCTTGATAATTTCAGCATTATTGACTATAGCCTGTCTGTACTCATCCAAGAGGCTGCATAGCTTCTTATCATAGGCTAGTTTCGTCTCTGCTTTCGTCACCTTGATGGCCATTGTTAGCTTCTCTTTATTTATTTGAAGCTGTGATGTAGCCCTGGTCATCGAAATGTTCATTTTGTGGCATTAAAACTCACCAGTGGACTTTGTGCTTAAGCATTGAGACGTAGGGGCGAACTCTGTGTTCAGAAGTTTAACCAACTCTAACACGAACGCAAAGGTCATGTTTGGTAGGATTCTGGCCTAGAATCTCATCCTGATTTGACAGCTCATAACTATCTATAAATAGACCACTGGGGTCAAATCAAGAGTCATTCAACTTTTCTCCTTTCTTCTCCGAAATATTTTAATGAAAGATTTTTCTTTTAAACTCCGGTGAATCATGTTCATCTTCTTCCTCAAACGATATCAATGGCGCCCAAGAAGAAAACCGTCTCCCGATCCATCATGTCCACTGTCATCATGACTCGGAGCTCGGCGGCGGCGCTGCTCCCGATCCATCATGTCCACTGTCATCATGACTCGGAGCTCGGCGGCGGCGCTGTGGCTCCGACAGATGTGCTGTCGCCACAGTTTTCCTTCGTCGGTGGTAAGTGTGGCCTTCGTGGCTTGTAAAACTTGCTTAGGCAAGTTTTGAATTTTGAATAACGAGGAGACTCATTTCAATGACATAACACAGAGTTAGGACTCTGTCGTTTGGAATTCGAAGCGTGGGGGTTTCGACCTCTGCACTCAAATTTTTTGGCGTAGGGTTTGAACTCTACCAACATAGGGTTCGACCTCTGCATTTGAATATGTCAACGAAGGGTTTGACCTCTGCGTTTGAACTCTGCCAACGCGGGTTTCGACCTCTGCGTTTGAATTTTCCAACGTAGGGTTTGACCTCTGCGTTTGAATTTGCCAACGTAGGGTTTGATCTCTGTGTTTGAGTAAGGCCTATTTGATTCTACTCTTGTACTAACTAATTGCTCTTTTCATTTTCAGTGCGTTACACCAATGAGCCTCTCCCTTTCCGCCATCATTTTGGTCATGAAGGTGGCGTAGATCTAAATATGACCTTCAATCTGCTCCAAGAGCTCCCTATTTTTCATATTACTTTCTTTTGGCTTCTAAATAAAAAGTGATATTAGCCTTCCATTATTTCTTGCATGTGTCATATTCTGACTTGAAACAATGAAATTACATGAGAAATGCCAGAGGTGTAATTTTAACTTAGCATAGATTTCTACAATAGGCCCGATTTAGAAAATTCTCTTTATTATCGTTTAAGATAATTCGAGAAAATTTCCATCTGTTGGGAATAAATACTTGCCATTCCATTAGGATAAGATTAACCAGTTGAATTCTTCCTATGTTATGCTTTTGCTTTAAACACTAAAAAAAGCTTATAAGTGCCAGAGGTGGAGTATTAACTTGGCATGAGTTTCCACATAGAGTGAAGTTCAAAAATTTTCCTTGTTACCACTAAGGACAATTCTGAAAAGAGTTTAATCTATTAGGGATTTTATGAGAACACTTGTTATTCCTATGCAAAGGAATAAAAAACAGGCTCAAGGGAGGTTTGAACTGTTAAAGGTATGATGTTAACGTAACAGCAATTTGTAGACTTATCATCCTATTAAAAGGGATTAATAAGTGGAATATTGGATGGTCAGAGGTAAAGGATTAACGTGATAGGAAAAATGTTGTGAACGGGGCAACTTTGAGGACTTATCGCTCTATTGGTGAGAGTCGATAAGCTAATTTTTTCAGAGGTGTGATATTAACGTGACATGGAAAATGCTATGATCGGGGCAACTTTGGGGACCTATCGCTCTATTCAGGAGAGTTGATAAGTTAATTTTGTCAGAGGTGTGACATTAATGTGATGGAAAAATATTCATGCGACTTGAACATAATTTTGGGGGACTTAGCGTCTCGCTGGGGAGAATTGCTAAGTGATTTATCATCAGAGTGATGGCTTATGATACTTGTGATTTGAACAAAATTTGGAAACTTATCACTCTACTAAAGAGGGTTGAGAAGTTAGTCATTTATTACTCTGTTGAGGAGAGTTAATAAATTGATCATGATTTGAGTAATTTTGGGGACTTATCATTCAATCAATGAGAATCGATAAGTTGATTTTGACAAAGGAATTGACATCACATTAGAAGTGATGCAAGCTAAATTCAAACTCTATAAGGATGATGATCGTCGGAAGTGTAGTGTTAATCTTGACGATAATAAGGAATTTTGTCAGCTGAATCGACTTAAACCCAGCTGAGATGGTACAGAGGTTTAACAACACTCTATTAAAATAATTAATGAACTTAGAGAATAAGTGTCATGTTTGAAAACGCAAGAGTGGACCCTTCATTTAGAATAACTGGAACGTAAAGGTGACCTCTGCATTTGAGGTTCGAAATGCAGAGTTAAGAACTCTCATAACGCAAGTCTGGGCCTAGCGTTTGGGGATCAAAACACAGAGGTGAGCTCTGCATTAAGGTTAAAGTCTGACTGACTTTATCCATTAATGCTGAAGATTGTGTTTTTTAAAATGGTTGGGATTCTCTCTTAGAATCCCGTACCACTTTAACAGCTTGACGGCTATTATAAATAGACCTGTGTGGTCAAATTAAGAGTCATTCGACTCTTTCCACTTTTGTCTTGATTCTATGAACATGAGCTCTCGCTAATTTCGATAGAACCTTTGACAATCTCTGCCTTCTTCAATCAGCGACATCAATAGTGCCACGAAGGATGAGTTTGGGCTCTAAGAAAGTCATGGGAACGACTCCAAAAACGTCGTCGGTTAGGGACGCCGACGGTGTTCTTGTTTCTGCGGGCACCTCGTCATTGCCGCGTGCGGGCCTTCCTGTCATGGTAGGTGGTGGCCGTAATAACTTGTTTTGAGAAGTTTTTGAAACCCTAAATGAGTTCTTAACAACGAGGAAGATGACTCGTTTATATTTGATGGAAACATATATTTAGGACTCTGTGTTAATGCAGTGTTGACTCCTGCGTTTGAAGTCTGAACGTGGGTCTGGACCTCTGCGTTCAAATTTTATAACACATGTCTTGACCTCTGTGTTTAAGATTTATAACACAAGGTTGGCCCTTGTGTTTAAGACTTAACACATGTGGTTTAACATCTGTGTTTTAATCTATTCTTTTAGATTTACGTTAGTAACTTGCTTCGGTTACTAATCTTTGCTTCTGGTTTTGCCGTGTTCTTTCCGAATGTGCCGCTTTCTCAAGAGCATCATTTTGGATATATTGGCGGTCTAGAAAAGGGTGAAGTTTTTAGTCTCTGTAGAAGAATCCCACTGTGCACTTTCCCCAACTTAAAGCGGACACATTTGATCAAGTTTGCCTGAAGTTCTACTTTTATGACTTTGATCACTAACCAGGATATGGAGACGCCTGCAGGCCATGACCAGTTTCCAAATCTAGCGTTTCTATTTGGAGATCGTGTAGCAGCAGATGATAATCTTATACATGTAGAAGACTCAAAGCTGCTACTAAGAATTGACTATCGTTTCCTCTTTCTTCTTAACATGAAGATGATTTATCCTCTCTCCTACTTTCTTAACATTAGTTGTCGTAGGGGTTTGGCTTTCGATCTCGTCAAAGAGAAAGAAAATGTATTGCTCAGATCTAGTCGATGAGCTCGCATACAAATTAAGGGACAACTCAAAGTCCTGAGACCTGGCAGATTTGAGAGAAAGGACCTTGCTCAAGAGGTGCCTATTTCAGCTGATGTTTTCATTCGTCATTTCATTATTGCTCGGGGTGAATTTCCTACACAGATGCTCAGATCTCCTGGCTGGGTGTATTTTGAAGAGGGTGGCTAGTTGCCTCGCATGGTGGACCTTGTTCTAGAGGACCTTAAGGAACCACTCGCTCAATCGGGTCTCACAATCCCAGTGTTGGCTACCAGGCGTGGAATTGTTCAAAGCTATCCTAATTTCTTTACCATGCTGGAAAGGTACAACCTGGATAACTGCACATTCTTTACACCTATCGTGGAGTTAGGCTTCGATCTCCATAAGATGCAAGCAGTATCAGGACTACCCTTTGGTCAGGTGCCTTATAAGGAGTTTATCCCTACTACTGAAGAACTCATAATTTTAAGGTCGTCGCATCTAGAAGTTTATGCAACTTTCTGGGAGCTGATGTGCCATTTCTAAATCTGCGCTCAAGTCGTTAGGATGCGCAGAGGAGGGATCATGCACACTGCATGGGCTGACTATCTTTTCTAGAACTTAAATCAGAAAGATGAGGCCGTGACCCAACTTGCTGATATCTCTCCTAAAAGCATTAAGGCCCGTATTAAGGCTTCAAATGTTACCTACAAGAACAAGATGTAGAGGACGGGTTTGAAGCTGGTATCGAATTCGAGAGCTTTCATTACCAAGCCGCAACACCTATTTCCGACACTACCCTCCTTACTGGCTTCTTAATGATATGGCTAAAACTGTGCGTAGTGCCATCAAAGCTAGTTGAGTCAATATTGGCTGAGGTGGTATACCCAGCTGTTTTGTTGGCCCATGGAAAACCATTGAGTCTCCTCACTGCCATGGAAGCTGTGTGCAGAGTGGCTTGATGATGTTGACTTCTGAATTTGTCGACGTCTAAGAAATAACCGTTGTTGGGAGGAAAGCTTGGAAGACTCCCCAACCTCATATACCAGTGCCGTACACATACTTGGTGCTAGATTTACAGATGTGGGTTTTGCAGGCTTCACATCTCTTGAGGAGGGTGTTTTCAGGTGGCTCCTCACAATTCGATTGGGATACATGGTTTTCCGTATGGGTGAGAAGTGCATAATTAAACCTTATATGTATTCTCGATTCACCAGGAAATTTGGATATGATCAACTTTATGTTAGCAATCCTAACTTGTATGAAGGGGCTCGTGCGTGGTATTTTTTCTTTGCTGGAGGGACCCTTGCATGATTCACTTTGCCCAACTCACCGCCTAGTTGTTCCACTGTTGAGGACTTCCGCGATTGGTTTAATGAGGCTTCTCGGATTCCAGAATATGATGTATACACTTCATGCATAAATGAAATC